ATAATTTGCGCATTGGGGGCAAATGCTGTATCATGGTAACAATATACAAATTGTTGTATCACAATAAACAATAATATGTGTTTGTGTTGTTTATGTATGGCCACACGCACAGCACGCCCTTATTTTTTCTTTATTTATTTTTTAGTGCCCTATTTGCATACATAAGAACCACCAATATGATTTTTTTGTGGGATTTTGTCCTGTTTTGGATATTTGGTTTAGCTGTCGTTTTTTGACAGGTATTCTGAAGGAGTCTGCCTCGGTTATCGAGTGGAATTTGAGGATCGGTTTGTGTATGCAGATTAAATGAATGCTTATTCTGGCATATAAGAAATTTGGTGGTACAAATATTTATACATATAACTGATTATGACTTTTAATATAATTTACCATAATGGCGCACGCCCGCACGAATACACGCAGCAAATTAATATATATTATTAATACGGGCGTATATGCTTTAAGAGAAAAAGAAAGCGTTTCAGCAATAAATTAATTTTGCTTTTGCTTTGGAAACTGATCAAACAAACCTAAATTTCTTATCGATCAATCAACGAAAACACCTACGCTTTCATCTACTAACCTACCTACAACTATTAATTATTGCGCATACATACAATAATTACATTATTATCTGTATGCTATAAACACCGCTATTTTTTGTCCCATTTTCTACTTGTGAAACGCTCGAGCTTCATGCTCAATTACGACATTACACAGTTTGTGAAAGCCTATTCCAGAAATGGTAATAAAGACAGATATATAGATAAAGAATACGACAATAGTAGGTATTATACAGATTTATCACTGTTTATTATTATGCAGTCGGCTGTATCATCCAAGTCATGTGCCGCTAGACTATTGTCGTAAGTTCGACCGTTAGATAAAAAAAGCTTTACTACAATTGGTGAACGCAAAAGAAAAAAAAAAAAGGACAAAGTTGGCCAAGTAAAAACAGAGTCATTTTTTTTTTCATTCTGCAAGGCCAACTCCCCCTATAACAAAATATCTTCATTCTCTTGCCGATCGAATGAATGCTAGATTGTAATACGTAAATAACGAGTTTACATGCAAGCATGAAACAAAAGAATAACCAGTCGCATGATTCAAGGTGGAAGGTTCTGTTGCACATCGATTACATACTCACCGCCCTCGTTCATTGAAATCTCATTTAGGGCATTGACACACTCATTTTCCAAAGACTTAACCTAGTCGCACAAACTCATTCGATTTCACATAATATTGACCAATCTGGATACACATTTACATATATGGCATGTTAGCGGCGAGAATTGGGCGTTTAATAAGGGATTTTGAGGCTTAATATGTTGATAATCAGTGACTATAGAATTTACGTTTACCATTCCCATTCATGCAATCATATTTGATGGAAGGTTTCTTATTGCAGGATAAATGCAGCGCACAGTATTGTTGATTTTTACATGCAAGGCTGTGTATGTGAGTATGTGCGAGTGTCGTATCAGTAAGCAGGTGTGTTTGCGCAAGTGATTGCGTGTATTGTGTGTGTTGGTATATGTGCTTGCGCAAGTGTGTTGCGTAAGCCTGTCTATGTTCCGTGTGAATTTAATCTATCAGCAAATGTGTTTTTTGATAACGAATTCTTTGTGATAAGTTCTATTCCTTGTACACTACATTTTATGTCCAGTTATCCCAAGTGAGCTATCTCCTTCCCCCCCCCACTCCTTTCCCATACAGTCATTTTTGTATCCTTTGCTCAGCCGAGCAGAAAGAATGAGATAAAAAAAAACCGGATTTGGATCTTGTTTGAGATCTCGCTAAATAATCGATCATAGATATCCCTTTTATAGTAACCTTATACTGTAACCATATGACTTTGTGTAAGAAACATAGTATCACGTGAAATAACAGCACGACAACCCAATATTAATATCATGTTTTGCTTAAATTCCTTTGAACTGTACCCAGCCGTGAGAGGTCGGTTATTGAGTTAAGTTCGAACCCGTGCCTGTGTGCGGAGGAAGTCATGTGAAGTATATGGAAGCCAAGAAGCCGGGATGAAAGGAATTATTGACCATTACAAGCAGTCTATTAAACATAAATTATTCCTTGACACAGTTGTGAACTGCAGCACATTTATCAACGTTTTTCCTTGCTAGCGTTATACAAGATGTATAAGAGAACTGGATATGTTGATTATCCCAACCTTATTAATAAAACATCCTTGTTCGACAACCACTTCACGTTATAATTGTGTATGTGTGTTATCTGATAAATAATTGCATGTATACAATTGGTTTCCACTTGACAGTGGATACGCGCTATCGGTACGTGACAATGGCAGCGGCAAGTGCGTCCTTGTGACGTATTCAATAAAAGTGCTGTGTTTATCTTAAACACGATACCTCAAAATGAAGATATTAATTACATTAATGAATGCTTATTCGGGATAAACCTTGAGGTTGGTTTGAAATGCAATTAACAAGTTCGAAACTATTTGGTATTATCAATGTCCATAATAACGTAATGTTTCGTGTCAACATTGCACCACGAATTTGTAGTGTTGTATGCCTGTACAAGGCGTGATTAAAAATCCAAAGATAAATACAGTTGCTTAATTTAATTATTTAATAAGATGTTTGAACATTCCGTGCAGAATTTTAAAAACTGGTATCGTATTTTACGTAATTTATGTTTATGAAACGCAATAGCGTAAGATAATAACAAGCGTTTAAATGTAATCTTTCTATATAACACTTTGTCATTTATTGATATAATAATATCGTATGGTACGTGTATTGTCAAAATGTAGACACTAATACATTTGCAATAATAATAACCAAATTGTAAATATGCCTGGAGAGTTTAAGCCCGCATATTTTAGTAATATTTTCTTCCAATATCCCAAGTATTCCAAGGACTTGCTGTGTTTCTCCGAGGCAACTCCACTCGTCTACTCCCAACCGTGTTTCGAGTTATTATCAACCAGCACATTTGGTGTTCAACGTTCAGTGTTCAAAGAATAAGCATTGTTGCATTTACACTTGATTGATTATTACGTTGCTTTGTACATTTACATCATATTCTATTATGCAAGAATTAAAAGTAGTTTATATAAGTATGTGACTAATTATCTTAATGATACCAAAATTTACAGTAAGTTTTAAATGATTGCAGTCTTTACAGATTTGTAATGCAGTTCTTAATCTTAATAGTGCCAACGCAAGACTGTTTTCTATCAATGAATTATGGCCACGTCAAGAATGAGTCTGGTTTGTAGTATAAGCCAATACGTATAAGCAAACGTGTTTTTACGGTGAAATTGTGATGTCGTGCAATATCCGTCTTAAAGCGATTGGTATATCTTTGAATTACCAATGCTAATGTATTCACTTGGTTAATCATCGTAGTAGTAGCCCCTGCAAAAATTTAAAAGATTGCAAACGGAAATCAATACATAAACATTTTTTGTTACCATTAGTCAAGGCTATTGTCATAATTCCTCTAAATGCTAGTATATCGCGAAGCGATAATCATTAGTCATGTGACAAAATTTTTTTTTTTTTTTCATGCATCATTTTCTTTACGAATTCCTCGCCTAACAACACACACTATTACTATTATTTGTCCAACTTGCCTTTGGAGCATGACGTTTTTTACTTAGTCGACTGACTATCGTCGAGGTCTGTTCTATGATCTACTCATTCTTTGCGTTCGTCTTTCAACATATATATGATGACATTTCGTATCAATCAAACTAGAGTTTCTGATACTTTCAATATGTGATTAAATATGCACTAACTGAATTATCAACGGAGACTGCTAAAGTACTTTCGATAATATATGTGAACGACATTAACCAGTATCATCAATCAATGGGTAATAATAGATTTTGAACTCGGCACATTCAGTGATCTCGAGACCGTCTTTGGCGAACTAGTCCCAGGTACGTTGCTTGATAATTGGTATGATGTTACATTGATATCCGGATTATTAGGATGAGTATTAGCAATTATAAAAACGCTGGAATTACCGGCTGAAATTAAAGTGTTGATAAATTTGCTATATCAACTGAGCAACTATCAATGACATTTCGTTATTATTGTTGATCTAGTTCAATCTCCAAACGTATTGATGTGTTATGTTTACGCTACTTTATTCAGACGCTGTTTATTGTTTATGGGCCGGCTCATCTATCTTGGCTGTTATGCTGGTGGGCGCGGCCGTCGAACGTGTAAGATGGACCCAAATATTGTCTCTGGCGACTCGAAAGAATCTTAACAAAGTGTTACAATTCGAGCGATGAGATTATGCATAGCCCTAAGAAGGTCAACAAGTAATATTCAAACACGCTGCTTTGCTTAATACAACAAAAAAGGTGAGATAATTCAACTGTAGTTAATCATCATGTAAAAATGATGAAACGCACTGGGCACTGAAACACTTAAAGTGTTGAGACGCACTGTTATAACCCGGCCTAGAAAACCGGCATCTGATATATTTTCAACTACGGAAGCTATTCCGCCGCCGAGAGGTGACTACATTATTGATTGATGATGATTCGCTTATTTTTAGACGGATTGATTTCAAACGAAGCAATTATCTTGATCTCGCAGTAAGTAAACTGCACGATATACATTCACAGCCAGGAGTTTCATAGTTGACATATACCGGTATTAACTATAGTTCATTATTTATTAGGTAGGGATTTTCGGCTGAAATCGTTAATCAAAGTTACTCGGTGCAATGAGTCACAATACAGGTTCGTTTTTGTCATCGTTATGATATATGAACAAACAGTGTGATGAACAGATGACGAGACACGAAAACTAGAGTACGTCTCGGTTTGATGTTGACAGCAAATCTAACAACCATTCATGCATTTTCTGACTTTTACGTTCAATTGGCTTTATCTATACTCTCGTGGATTTATGAACTAACATGTTTTCATATGCAACTAGGGAAATTTAATCTTATTCCTTAGTTGTCATTTGCGGCAGGCGTGCTAATATGTGGAAACAATGAAGAATACGTATTTTTGTAAGTATTCGATTAATATATTATGCAGTTATTATTTATGATGAATAAATCAAAAACGAAAGACAAGCATATGTCTGAAATATAGCCTATGTTGAAAATTTACGTATCTGACCATATTATATTTTTGGGCAAGGATATTAGGAATGAATGTTTACATGCAGAAATTAATCTACATATCTGTTTTTTTCATATCCCAGGCCGAAAGTTCAACAGCTATGCGCAACCAACATTTCTGTGTAGAGTTTATGAACGTACGCTTACCGAAAGCGTGGTGGAGGCGACGAAATTAAGTGGATATGGAGAAGAACTTGATTTCATCGAGATAAGGGCGAGGATGAGAGAGACCATGATGAGAGGTGAGATGGGGTGGGCATTACCTTCCTTATCGCGTGTGAAGCATCAGGCATACCATAAACGAACTGTTCTTATTATGCAAAGAATTGTTGCTTTACTTAAATCACAAATCTATTTCTATGGTTTGCTAATGAGTTAATGCACAAGTTGTATATCTTTTTAACGTCTTTTCATTTGACTATGAATTAAATCCTTCCAAAATGTTTCCGACGTTTATTCCAAGCGTTTCCAA